ACTTTGTATCAATATGCTTTCTTCTTCCATGCAATACTGGATTCTTGGCAAGATTGCTTGCAGACTTGTTATCAATCAACAGCTTCAGAGGTTTCTCTATCTTAATCTTCAAATCCTTCAAAATATTCAGAAGCTAAACAGCTTGACATGCAGCTACATCACCTGCAATGTATTCATCTTCACACGTTGACAGAGCCACAACAGGTTATTTCTTGGAACTCCAAGAAATAGGACCTCCTAGAAACTTGAACAAGTAACCAGAAGTACTTCTTCTGTCAACTCTATCTCCACACCAGTCATAATCAAAATAACTCACTAATTTTGGTTATGTCTTTCTTCTAGAAGGAAATAACACTCCATATTTCAGAGTTCCCTTGATATACCTCAGAATACTGACAGCAGCTTGGTAATGAGACCACTTTGGTTTATTTATAAATCTGCTAATCATTCCAACTGCATAGCAAATGTCAGGTCTGGTATTGCACAAGTACCTGAGAGAACTAACCAACCGTTTGCAGGTCGTAGCATCCACATAATCACCATCAGAATCATAATCTAATTTATGATTGGTTTCTGATGGTGTCACAATAACTTTACAATTCTGCAGCTTAAATCTCTTCAGAAGTTCAAGTTCATACTTCAGCTGATGTAGAATGATACCCTTCTTTGAGTACAGAATCTCCGTTCCTAGAAAATATACCATATTTCCCAGATCTGTCGTCTCAAATTCATTCATCAGAACTTCTTTGAACTTGATTATATCTTCTGGACAACTTCCTGTTAGCAATATGTCATCAACATATAGACACACCAGAATCATATTGCCACCAGAATGCTGCACATACACGCCATATTCCATCTCACATTTCTGAAACTTCTGCCTCTTGAAAAACGAATCAATTTTCAGATTCCAAGCTTTGGGCGCTTGTTTCAGTCCATACAAGGCTTTATGTAACTTGTATACCATCACTTCCTGATTCTTTTTCACAAATCCAGGAGGTTGTGACACATATACCTCTTATTGTAACAGACCATTCAGAAATACAGACTTCACATCCAGATGCATCAAAGGCCAATTTCTATTTGCAGCTAAAGTAATCACCAGTCTGATTGTTTCATGTCTAGATACAGGCACAAACACCTCAAAGTAATCTAGCCCAGGTTTCTGAAGAAAACCTCTAGCCACTAGTCTTGCTTTGTGTTTTCCAATTGATCCATCTGGATTAAGCTTCACCTTGAAAACCCATCTGACGCTGATGGCTTTCTTCTTTTCTTGAAGCTTTGTTAACTCCCAAGTTTTGTTTCTTTTAATAGCCTCAAGTTCTTCCTTCATGGAATTCAACCATACTTTCTTCTTGAGAGCTTCTTAAATACCTACTGGTTCATAATCTACTAACATGGTACGCTGAACGACTTCTCTTTCAGAATCTACTTCAGTATCATGCAACATGCTAAAATCTGTAAACCTACTTGATATTTGTCTGATTCTCTGTGGCCTCTGAACTTGTTCTGAAGCTTCTCCAGAACTTGGAACAGTGCTAGCTTATGGACCTTGTCCAGAACTACTTCCTTCAGAATTACCACCTTCAGAGTTACTTCTGGAAGCTTATCCTCCAGACCCTATGTCTTCAAAGTTTTCCCTTCCAAAAATATAATCACCACCAGATTTTGGATCATCATCAGAATCTGGATCAGAATCAGATCCACTATCAGAATCTCCATGAGATTCTGACTCATCTTCAGAGTCTTCAGAATTAGATTCATCTTCTGAGTCTGACTCGTCTTCAAAACTTTCTAAAGATTCTTCAGAAACTAACTCTGGTGTTAGCGCTACACCAGAATCTGATCGAGGCTTGTTCCAATCCCATGTTTCTGACTCTTTCACAATAACGTCTCTGCTGATTTCAACTTTGTTGGTTTCTGGACAATAAAGCTTATAGGCACCTGTACTGTGGTACCCCACCAATAACATTACTTTGCTTCTATCATCCAGTTTCCGTCTTCTAGCTTCTGTAACGTGTTTATAGCATACAGAACCAAACACCCTTAGATGACTAATACTTTGCTTATCTCCGATCTATTTTTCTAAAGGAACAATTCCCTTCAGCTTTTTCATTGGACACCTATTCAGAACATATGCTAATGTGGCAACAGCTTCTCCCCATAACATGTGAGGTAGCTTCTTCTCTTTCAGCATACTTCTGGTCATATCAAGCAAATTTATGTTTCTTCTTTCAGAAAGACCATTGTGCTGAGGAGTATATGGAGCAGTAACCTCATGTTCTATTCCATTCTCCTCATAGAACTTTTGGAACTCTATAGAGTTATACTCACCTTCACCATCAATTCTCAGAATCTTCAACTTCTAACCACTCTGCTTCTCAGCCTTTACCTTGAACTTCTGGAACTCAGTAAACACTTCATGCTTGAACTTGATGAGTGTTACCCATGTCATTCTTGTGAACTCATCCATAAAAGACATAAAATATGTATTTCCTCCAAGTGAAGATACTAGAAATGGTCCACACACATCAGAATGTACTACTTACTCCCAAAGCATGCTTCGCTCTAGGGGCTACTTCTGATGCAAATGGCTATTTGGGTTGCTTATCTTTCATGCATATCTCACATGACTTCTAAGGCTTCACAATCTTCGAAATTCCATATACAAGCTTTTTAGAACTTAGATGCCCTAAGCTTCTATAGTTCAAGTACCTCAACCTCTTATGCCACAGCTTACTACCACCTTCAGCGTCTTCTGCACTAAGACACTCTGCTTCAGCTGTTTCTACATTCACATTGAATGTTCTGTTGCTTTCCTGCTCAGACTTCATAATCAACTTCTAATTGGAATCATATAACGTCAAGAGGTTGTCCTTCATAACAACTGAGAACCCTTTCTCAATGAGCTGACCCACACTCATCAGATTGCTTTTAATTCCAGAAACATACCAAACATCTTTGATCAGAATGTTTTTTCCATTCTTCACTATGACTCTGACATTTCCCATACCTTCTGAATTAAGATACTTATCATCAACACATTTGATCTTTGTTCTCCTTCTGGAGTCAAAGTCTATCAGCCATTGTTTGTTCCCAGTCAAGTGGTTTGAACATCCAGTGTCCATATACCACCAATCTTCTGAACATTTTCCATCAGAATCAGAAGCCATCAGTAGCACAGGTTCATCATCAGAATCTCCTCTGGCTATATTTTCTTCTTCTGACTTTCTTCCTATGTTTCTACAATTCTGGCAAAATGGTCAAACTATTTACAACACTAACATTGAACCTTCTTCTTGTCATACCTTTCTTTTCCCTTCTGATATTTCTTTTCATCAGAAGTTGAGATTTCTGACTTCTGGAATTTATCACCACGTCTATTATGCTTCTGGTCCTTCTTGATAAAAGAAGCCTTCAGAGCTTGCTCAACTTCCTTCTAAGAAATTCTTTCAGTCAGACGCAACTCCTGTTCTTCTAGACTGCTTTACAACTCTTCTATTCTCATAGTTTCCAGATTTTAGAATGTTCAATAGAAACAACAATGTAATCAAACTGAGGAGTAAGCGATCTCAGAATCTTCTCTATGATTACCTGTTCAGAAAGTGTTTCTCCACAAGCTTTCATCTCATTAATGATCAGAGTCATTCTGGAGATGTACTCATAAACTTTCTCAATGTTCTTCATGTTGAGATTCTCATATTTCTTTCGCAGGAACTGAAGCTTCACCTTCTTTAATGACGCGTCACCACCGTAACATCTGACCAATATATCCTATGCCTCTTCGATGTCGTCGAATCAGCAATCTTCTCAAATACACTTTCATCCACACACTGATAGATATAGAATAGAGTTTTTTGATCCCTCTTCCTCGTAGCTCTTTTTGCAGATCTTTGTTCTTCAGTAGCATCTGCTGCAACTGGAACATAACCATTGGTAACAAGATCCAGAACATCCTGAGCACCAAATAGCACACGCATTTGTATCATCCATCTGTTCCAACTTTTGCCATCAAAAACTGGAAGTTTAGTGTTCAAACTACTGCCTCCACTCATCTTAAACCTTGCACAAATCTCAGATCTCAGATCTCACTCAGTGTTTTCCAAACTCACAGAATCAGTGTGATTCTGTTCAGATTTTGTTGAAGTTTCAACAGAAATCAAACACACAGCTCACTTTTCACTCGTGTTTCCCATAATTTCAGAAGAACCAAGTGCTCTAGATACCAATTTTGTTGGTGCAAAGTGATAAAATTGAGGAAGAAGGGAGAAAATGATAAATGATAAAAGCTCTTACAAATGATTGAAAGAGATTGTAATTAATTAATGAAAACTAATACACTTATTTATACACAAAAATAGTAAAGATAAGAATGTCACATGGACCCTAAGAGAGAATATTCCAAATATAACGAATACTAAATTACCTCTTTAATAGGTATTCATAGCCCTAAATCTTAAATTCTAAACTATTTGAAGTTAAAAGTAAAAAGAATAATGTTTGCATAGATAATTTTATTATTTTAACATGGATGTTTATCAGCCTAAAGTAAAAAGAATAATGTTTGCATAGATAATTTTATTATTTTAACATGGATGTTTATCAGCCTAGTCTCAGTGTTTTTTAGACTATATAGTATATCTTGAATATATGAATTTTTTACGATTCAATGACATAATTAGTTTGCTTATGTTAAAAAGTTGTCTTTTGATATGCCTTTCGAGAAACATCTTGACCAAGTGAAGAAATATCTTGATTGGGAAGTTGTCGCATACGTTCTCTCCACCTGTCGCAATCTGAACATGCTGTTGTTGAGCAACAAATACACGTACAACAGTGTCCTTCACCGCTTGAAATACAGTAGTATCATCACCAACCTTCTTAATTCACCTCTTGCACTTCACTACTATATAAGTAATCACTTCACCTCTAACCAACCAAATTACCAAGACCAAAACATAACTTGTGTTTGAGAACAATTTAGTAAAAACAATATCACCATGAGTCAGGAGAAGCCACGGAGGCCCGAGAAAGAACCGATAAAATACGGCGACGTGTTCAACGTGTCCGGTGATTTATCATCACAACCGATTGCACCAAGAGATGCTGCAGCCATGCAATCAGCGGAGGACAAAACATTGGGACAGACTCTAAAAGATGGGCCTGCTTCTCTCATGACTTCCGCGGCCCAGAAAAACGAGGATGCTGGTTTCATCGGTCATAACACTGCTACAAACATTGCTAGAAATGAAGGCGTTGCTGTTTCTGAAACTTGTGATTCTGGCAAACGTGTCATCACTGAGACCCTTGGTGGACAGGCAATACTTTCGGACTATATTTTATTTTGAAGATTTTATTGCATGGATGTATTATACTACATAATTTATTGATGCAACAGGTCCTGGGGAAGTTCGTGGAAGATGCAAATGCTTCAAAAGGGAGTACCTTTGAAGACGAAGGTGATCCTAATCCTCTCTCAGCTCAAGCTCCTAAAGTTGGAGTAGCAATGGACAGAGATTTCATAAGTAACCAAGGTGGTGGTGTTATGAATCCTGTTTTGAATGGAAACCAGAATGAGAATAAGAATGCATGGTCAAATGATTCAATGGTAAGAAACTTATGCTACTAATACATATTATTTGTTACTTCATTATTTTTTGAAACTCAACAGAACCTTGAGTCTTAATTGAGAAGTTGAGAGCTAAGTTTTGGATACAAATTCCAAGTGCAGGGCAAGGGTGTAAGGAATGAAAATCCTGAGACTATAAGTAGTGTACCTGGTGGCATGGGAGCATCCATGGCGACTGCGGCTGCGGATCGGCTTAAGAAGAACAAGTGACGGACACTTTTGAGTTCAAAATCAGATGTTTTGTTTTGTTTTGTTTATAGGAGTGTGACTGTGAATTTTACCTTTTAGTTTTGGTAAAATCTAGTACTTTTTTACCAAAGTTTACTGTATATGTTATTCCCTCGGTTTGTGTCGAGTCTTTAGTCATGTATAATTATCTAAAAGTTTACGGTATGTTATTCCCTCGGTTTGTGTCATAATTATCTAAAAGTTTACTGTATGTTTTTTCCTTAACGTTATTCTATCGGTTTTAAAATTATTCAAGTTTTCCTTAATACGGTATGTTATTCTATCGGTTTTAAAATTATTTAAGTTAAAGTTTTTTATTTTAAAAAATTATATTTTTATAAAATTAATCTTATTAATAGAAAAAATATTATCTTAATTTTAAAATTATTGAAGTTTAAGATTTTTGCATCTATAAAATTAAAATAATATTATTAAAAAAATATAATAAAATATAATTATTACTGATTGTATCTGACCATAATTACACTAAATAAGATTTTAAAAATAATACTTTGTTAAAAGTAAAAGCGCTTTTAAATCTCTTTTTTAAATAGCACTTTTATTTTAAAATTGCTGGCTAAAGGCATTCTTTAACCAGCGTTTTTATTTTTAAAGCGCTCTTAAAAGTTTTTTTTAGTCAGCGCTTTTACTTTTGTCGTTAAAGGTCTCCTTTAGCGAACGTTTTTTTTTAAATTAAAAAAAAAAATTTTAGACAACACTTTTAATGTTAAAGTGTTGTCTAAAGCTCTTTTTAACCAACGCTTTTACTAAAACATTGTTAAAGGTCTCCTTTAACCAACTCTTTTTTTAAACAAAATTTAAAAAAAAAAATCTCTTTAGACAGCGTTTTTCATTAAAATGTTGTCAACTCTTTTTAAACAAAATTTTAAAAAAAAAGTCTCTTTAGACAGCGCTTTTAATGTTAAAGTGTTGCCTAAAGTCCCTTTTAGGCAGCGCTTTTCATTAAAATGCTACTAAAGACCCCTTTTAGGTAGTATTTTTTTTTAAACAAAAAAATAAAAAAAGAAGTCTCTTTAGGCAGCGCTTTTACAATAAAAGCGCTATCTAAAGGGGGTTTTAGACAGCGTTTTTTAAAACGATGTCTAATGTCTACGAAAATTTTATATAATTTTTAGAAGAAAAAAAACGTTTGATATATACAATTTTATATGCATAGATTTTAACCATATTTATACCAGGTTTTCATCATATTTTACACATGTATATCATTATAAATTTCACCAGATATTCACTAATATTAGAGTTTCAATCTAATAAAAAATAATATCAAAAGATTCTATATATTTACACTAATGTACTTATATATACTATTACTCTTGTACACATATACTTTTACCAAAAAAAACAACACCAAAAAAACACTATTATATACCATTATAAAATTTATTCATCTTTATCATCTACATATGCACATATAACATGAAACAACACTAAAATATCGTAATTCATACCATAATACAAATAAGATATATATAATTTACCATACGACAAACAACAACAAAATTGCAACACTTAAATATACTCAAAATTCTCATCAATTAAAGTAAGATTACAATATATCTTATATAACTTTCGTCTCAATAATGTATTGACACCAATCCTCTTTAAGTTCATCCAACTGAGAACTTGAGTAATAAGCACACTTGAATTCATCAAAGTACTACATAATAATATAACATAGTATGTTTTGAAGAAGTGAAAAACACAAGAAGGGGGGTTGAATTGTTAAAACTTGAAATCAAATGCAGACAACACGTTATTTTTATACTGGTTCGTTTGATCTCAAACTACTCCAGTCCACCCGTCAAGGTGATTTCGCCTCTCTCCAACGAGGACTTAATTCACTATGTTCAACTGAATATTACAACTACTTTAACAACTGCTAAAGCCTTCTTGAGTCTTGTTGTACCCCAAAATTTGCCCTCTCATTTCATCAATATTTTCTCACCACAAGACCCTTGGAGCTCAAGATCAAGTTAGGGTTTGCTCTGCTCAAGACTCCTCCTTGCACTGTTGACCCAAATTAGAGTTTGAGTTTGCACAAAGATGTTTTGACCTAAAATGCTCAAAATTACTTTCATGCTTCATGTTAGACTCACAAGTTCATCCATACCAAGTTTCAAGCCTTGATTCCAATCTTTGCCCAGTCAATTGGACAATTGACCTAGAAATCAACTATATTGGGGGAAAAGTCAACTGTGGTCAATTGACAGTCAAACCTCATGTGGACCACTTGATCAAGTTTGGATCACAAATCCACAAGAAATTTGATCAGATCACCAAAAGGGCAAAATGGTCATTTTTAGGGTTTTGACTGCACAAAGGCAATTTTTGACTGTTTGATCTAACCAATGGCAATTCAAGCTCACATATGGACTCAAGGACTCAATGACATGGTCTTGACACATTCAACAAGTTCAAAAGATCTCAATTGCACAAGATTGACAGATGAATTTTTCAGTCAACTGAACAAAATTTGACTGTATACTGAAAAGTCAAACTTTGACTTTTTGGTCAAAATCAAGTGCCAAGATTCATTTTTCATCAAGACATGTCAAATTGTGAAACTTGTTCATCAAGAAATCAAAAATTACAAATTAGGGTTTAGAATGAAGAAATTTCATAACTTAGAATTTTTCTAAGTTATGAAATTTCCTAATTTTTTCCTAACTTTGTCCCATTTTTTCATCAAGATGTAATTTGATTCAAGCAAAACTCAAAACATGAAATTTATAGTCCATTGCAAAATCTACAACTTTTATTCACAAAGTTTCTTCAAAAGAAGCTTGTAGCTCAAGTTATGATTTTTGGAATAGGGGTGCAAAACATTCTTAACTTAGAAATTTGTTTACCTATTTTAGGCAGGATTTTTGCCCAACTTCATGACCACTTTTCACATGCTTCCACTTGGAATTTCAACTTGCATTACAAAGATGGATTGTAGTATACATTCCAAGCTTTCCAGATTGTCCAAGAACTCATCAAACACCCTTGTGGTTAGGGAGAATCGAATTTGTCAAGATGGGCAAAAGTCACTTTGTTCATGGCCAATTTCATGTTCATAACACTTTGCATTTTTCAAGTCATCTTGCACAAGCTAGATTACAGGCCTCTAATCCCATTCTTACTCAATAATTTAATGCAAAACCTTTGTGTCCTAGCATTATCTTGTTCATTAAGTCATTACACAAAGGTTTAGTCTTGAAATGGAAAAAGCATTTTAGCCATTTTTGAAAAGAAGTGCTTTATGTCAAAAGCAAATCAAAGAAGTACCAAAGCAGATTTTTTGGGCACAAGTTCATGAACAAATTCCACTGATCAAGAGTGATTTATGCAGCATAGATTGAGGGAGTAGGGGTCTGCATTGTAAATGCACATTTTCTTACTTATCAAAGAAGAAACTTGCATTTTGAACAACATCTCTCATTCCTGTAACAACTAGCCAAAACAAAGTTTGTAAACACTTTCCATACATCATAACTGGCCTAAGGCACGATTAAACCTTCCCTCATACCTCCTCAAACACAAAAACACCATCCTCTTGCAAAAACAGGGCACCTGCTGCAGATTGAGGTCCACAACTCAATCCACTCGTGCACTTTGGCTAATAACCTTGCAAACACATTCCATACCATCCATTGAAACTGTTCCAAGCCCTAAACACCAGTTGTAACACTCCTAACCCCATCTGCCATTTTCATTTTTCAGTTTTGCAGGTGAACTTCCATAGCTCGATTCAGTTAGTTTCAAAGCAAGCTAGAGGTTGGAGAAGCATCCCTGAACTTCAAGCAAGTTGTACAAGTCCTCAAATTCCATTGAAAGTACCTCCATTGGTGTACACGATTCAAGCTGAACAGGTAAAAGTTTGAACTTCTATCTCTTTATCCAAGCATATTTAGGCTTAAGTTTGTGAAGAAAGCATGTTCTACTCATGGCCCTGAAGCTACCCATATAATTACTTTTCATTTATATTGTGTGTGCTAAGAGAATTTTGAACCTGAACATGGAAGAAAAGTTAGGTCAGAAATTGGGGGAGAAGAAATTCTCTCTCATTTCTGAGAGTTAGAACAACTTTTTTATATGTTTGAAATCGTGACATGATGCTCTATAATGTTTGTGTTGTGAGTTTTTGCTAAAAGTCAAGGAATCAAGAGATTGTAGAGATGGAGGAAGGGCGCGCGTTTTTTGTTTGAATCTGGCTAGAGGTTGAAGACAGAGTTGACTTGGGTTGGGCATGAGTCAACCTGCTTTTTGCACCCCTTATTTCATCTTGCACCCCCCTTGGCCCATTGTGTGATTTTTTAATCATTTTTGACTTTTTCTTTTTGATTCTGACTTGTTATTTTTTGTTAAAATATAAAAAACATTAAAAATATTTTTTCACCCTTTTTTGTATTTATTAGGCATTTATTTGTTTTATTTGATATATGTATGTAAATAAATAGGTATATACTTTTTATTTAAACCCTAGAAAATAATACCAAATATTCTTTTTTGGTCCTTATTTTTTATTTACCTTTTTGAAAACATTTTCTAAAAAATATACTTTTTTTGTAAATAATAAATATTTTTATTTTTGTATATATTTAATATATTTAATACATAATATAAATACTTATATATTTATTAGAATATTTAGGATAAAAATACAAAAAAAATAATACATTTTTATTTTTATTAATATTTGACCTCAAAAATTACTTTTTTTTTATAAATATACTTCTCTTTTATTTATTTTTGTATATAATTAATAAATATTGTATATAATACATAATAAATACTTTTTTATTTACAAAATTAGGGTTTTGCCCTAAACCATGAAAATACCCAAAAATTAACCCTTTTTATTTTTGTTTATTTGTTACATGAAAAATACTTTTCACATACACATAAAAACATTTTTGTGCATAATACATTTTACATTTTATTTGTATTTATTCAATTATTGTACAATTAAATAA